TTAACGTGTTATATACACATTAAAATTTTGAAACGAGTTTTTACCTGTTTCATTTCGGAATCTAGCAAATCCTATAGAATAAAGAGACAACTCAATACATTATCATTACTTGAGAGCTAGTTAAAACAATACTTTCTAACTGTTTTTACTCTATTCCCACCGTACATCGATACATCCACTGTTGTACGGCGCGAATAAAGTTAAAATAGTTAGGATGTATAGTTTTAAGTAGCTCTCAAGTAATAATGAAATGCTGAGTTGTCTCTTTACCCTATAGAATTCACTTATTTTATTATAATAGGAAGTAACTGTGTGCGGGTAAATAACTGCTATGTGCGTAACTTCCATCACAGCTTCGCATTTACCGACAGGAATCTATTCGGAGATTGACTTTGAGGATATCAACTACTTTTATTCAATTATTTTCTAGTTTTGATTCTATGATCGAACTAAAAGCCAAATAACAACTCATCAGCATCGTTGATAGAAATGAAAAAAGAAAAAAAGCTGATATAGTTGATGACGCTAGATCTATGGCTGATATGACTAAATTGTGTAAAACAAAGTAGAAGAAAGACAAAGAACATAAAATTAACTAAAGTGCCGAATTCATTTCTTGTTCTTTACGTTAGAATATTTCTCAATTGGTTACACTGATCCTATCTTGACTTAATGAAACGAGAAAAAATTTATTTTCATGAGAAGGATGTTGCTGCGCAATAATCAGTGAAATAGATTATAAAGTAAGAAGTAACTTTTCTATTGTAATATTCGTAAATAGTCTCTCATCTTCTCAAAAATCAGTTCAAATATAAATATGTGCCCACATGTTGTATAAATACTGAGTATGTTGTCTTGGATTTAGCAATCTATATGCTAACGTTCATGAGAATAATACATTAATATAAAAAAACATATATTCTGCTAAATAAATGAGCAACAGTGAGTCGACATTAAACACAGTTAAGTAGAATCAAAAGAAAAAAAATTAATTCAAGCTGTCTATCAGACATTACTGCATTGAAATCTATTGAGTCCTGTGAACACGTTTTAACTCGTAAAAACAATAGTGAGACTGACTGAAAAACGCGTAAATTTCGAAAAAATTACACACTTTAACAGGTTGAAGATGTGGTAGTGCGTTTTAACTGGTTTCAAAATTACGTAATAAGACCATTTTAACGATAGTATTTCGTTGAAACGGCATTATAACATGCAGAACCTTAACGTGTTTAAACAAATTTTCTTAAAGGTCTTATCTACCTGGGTCACCCCTTTCCATTGCAGACACTTAGCAACAGATCCTCATTATAGGCGAGTGTGACTGTGGTTGTAGATGTGGGTAACGGCAGCAGACACTCATACCCCCACGCAGTCTCAAGACTAAACTAAATAAAAAGAGAAGAAAATGAAAAAGATGGGCGGCGTGAATGAGCATTCCGAAAGGAACAATAAGCACAGAAACTATTCTAAATTCGGATCAAGGAGGAGGAAAAGTGAAAATGAGAAGAAAATGCATCTATTGGTTTTATCATTATATATTTGTCAATTTCTTGACCATTTCAGACATATACGTGCATAACTGTAGGCTAATGATCAATAATTGGTATTAAATAACCGTTTTATCATCACCGCTATCAAGCACTACTCGTAAAGTCAAATATTGTAAAAAGATTTTTACAGTTTTATCTAGATTGTAGATAAAAGCATCATGCAATACAGTCTTTCGCTTTGGTCACTTGCATTTACGACACCTTATTCCATGTCTTTTCATTTCCATTATTAGTTGCCTTTTGATAACCGATCCCACTCCAAGTTTGTTTTTCAATCTCACTTGCATATTCTAATATCTTGTAGACATACAACAAGACAATCGTCTTACCATTATCATCGTCATAGCATGGTCTGAATTCATGCGAATATCACTTACATAAGCCGCACTCGTATGTCATCTGGATTCACGACATCTGGTTAAAGTGATATTCCTAGTATCGCCACAACATTTGCTTTTATTGGAATCGTTTCTGACTGGCAATAATGCCAACTATTGACCATAGTTAATATCAGTCCTGATCGATGATTTTCTCTTGAAAAATAAGCACACGCATTCATATCGCCTACAAATAATTTTTAAATTGGTGGTTGCCCAAGTAATCAAAGTTGAATATTACATGATGCTAGACTCAGATTGTGTCTCTTTATAATCGATTCATGTGGAACAGTTACTGTGGCATGAGAAAAACACGACAGCCAGTAATCACTTTAAAGTTCTCTATTTAATCGAAAAACGACTCAGTCATAGTAAATATTGGTCATAAAGTGAACCATTGTTACAAATTAAACCGAATACGTGTGCCTCAGCAGATCCAACATTGAAGATGATGGGTGTCACGTCGCTGATCTTGTCCACATCAATCGCATTGCAAACATTGTACCGATAACAAATGCTCCATGGTAAGTTCAGAACGAAGATCGTTCTTTACATATGACACGAAATACATTCAGGCTTTTTCCAATTTGTAGAAGACCGAATTTCTTTGAATAAATTAGTAAATTCGAGTCTATGGCAGACGCTCGTTTGTCGAATGTGGAGAGAAAATACGCCCAATTATCTTACTTCAAGTGATATGGACACATTTGCTACACATCACTTTCGTTATATAACATTCTGTTTCAATTCATTAGGTTGAGTGAAATTTATGTGATCTTAGTGTATGATTCTACGATGATTAGACATTATCAAAATATTGTTAACTTTTGGGTTAAAATGCCGTCACCAAGTAATTAATCAAGTTGATAGATAAATGATTGTTGATACTACAAGTACGACAACGGCCTATTCAATGTTCTTCAAGGTTATCAGAATATCAATCCAAATCTATTCAATCAATTGATCTATCCACTCTCCATTGACTATTTGAAGCAGTAGAGTGGTATACAGCAAATACTAACGATACTCGATTGCATGTCCGAACTATTGATCCCACGTTGATCATCTTAGGCAGATTGTATGCCATCATTTTATTGTCAAGAAATAAAATATAAACGGACCCTTGAAAATAACATTGCATTTTATGAAGAACAATTTAATGAAAGAAATGCATCATACTAAAGCCATAAATAACAACAATTTGTCGATGATACTTTGAGTAGATGCAGAGTTATGAATGCAAAGTAGTTGTTTGCAACTGTCAAAGTATTTTCTATAGACTGAAATGATACAAAATTGATTTATTGGATTAGTGTACACAATTGGATAGCGTTTTATGAGAAACAATTAGTGGTTTCAAATAACTCATGTTTCTTTATAGGTATTATTTAAAAGACGAGTTCTATGCACACNTTTTTTCATTATTTTACCAATTTTTAAGTCTTTAAAAATTATATTGAATTTATCAACACAAAAACCGTAGCTTGAGGTCTAGTGAAATCGGGGAGAAAATGTGATTGGGAAGGAAGTGTCCAGGGAGCAGATGTCATTAGGGAGCAAATATCTAGGGAGCAATTGTCATAGGAGAGCAAGTGTCCGGGGAGCAATTGTCATTGGGGAGCAAATGTCACGGAAGCAAATGTCACGGGAGCAACTGTCACTGGAGAGCAATTGTCCGGGGAGCAATGGTTGCGGGGGCAATTGTCCCGGGAGCATCATTCGTGTTACCCCCTAAAATATATCATCCATGCGATAATCTTTTTCTTCATCTTATCACACTCAATCAATTAAGTGAACCACAGTTAATTAAATCGGCTTCAGTTGGAACCATTCATACTTTCGTAAACAACAAATGAAAGATAACTCTTATGTATGATTCGCCAAAAATGGCTAACGTGACATTGACCATTTTTTAATGATCGTTAGGAATAGAAATGAAAAAGTTTTATTTCTTATTCAACCTGCTGTTATCAAAAAGCTCTTACATTCTCACTTTGTCAGGAAATTTGTGCATATCATGATGTTCTAATCTTGCTGACTCATCATGATATGATTGTACAGTTTTTTTTCTAATAAATAAAACAAAATGAAGACAATCCGTAATACACAGTTGAAGGATATTAAACTCAAAAATTATTTTCCCAAAATGCAATATAATTACACATGTGCATGTACATATGCTGAAGAAGACGAAAAAGCATACACAAACACGCGAATTCCACAATCTTTTCCACTCACATTTGTTTTCTGATGTAGAAAGAAAGTCGAATTTTTGCTGGACACCGTACAAACTGAAATGTGTCTCAACTATTGCATGTAACTACAACATTATTTGTAGATACATTTTCTTGTATATTATTTATTACATTCACATGTAGATTTCGACAAGATTCTACGTATAAGGCATGTGCACGTGAATAATACTGTTGCATTTACATGCAAATCATATTCCTTGCGTAAACTACCCTGAATATAGCTTGCGACCAAATGCAAGAGTGAAACTTCGCGTGATTTTGAATGATTTATAAAAAAAGAGTTTCCAAAATTGTATTTGCATGCATGCGATTCTAACATCCATATGTGTATATATATGATTGTATGTGTTTACACAGAGCAATTAACTATTGCTTAAGGAACTTGCGTGTCCGTATACAATATTTCACGGTAACAAGAATATATTGCAATTATACGCAAAATTCTTAGATTTTCTCGCGAAAACAGGCATTTTATGAACATTCACGTATGACTTGGATTTAGATGATTAATTATCATCATATAATTAGTCAAGTATCAAGCTACGTAGTATTTATGTGTTTAACGGTTTATATATCAATTAATTAAATTCGAAGTACTTGTTCAGATCATTATTGTCTGTACTATGCTCAAGTATGACTAATAAGCTTTAAAAAATGATGCAGTATCCTTCATTTTGAGTAAACACTCAGCTTTTGATGAAAGATAATAATCGTGCAGTAAAGTGAACAATACATCTATATCATTCGTCAGATATTTTAAACGAAGCTTATTTCAATGTTTAAGAAGGTGTATTTTAACTTTCAAAATAGTTCACTCATGATAATTGTGAATCGTTTTGAGCAAGCATTTTATAATAAGCTCCACGTTGTTGTATCAATTCTGTATGAGTACCATTTTCCACTATTTGTCCTTTATCAAGTACACAAATCAAATCACATGAACGAATTGTTGAAAGACGATGAGCAATAATGATTGATGTTCGACTGGAATCTTCTGTTTGAGCTTCATCAAGAGCTTCTTGTACAATCTATAATTGAAAAATGAAGATGAGCTTTTAATTGATAAATAAAAAAAAGAAGCAAACTCACTTGTTCATTGTATGAATCCATGGCACTTGTAGCCTCATCTAAGAGCAATACTTTAGGTCGACGAAGCAGAACTCGAGCAATAGCAATACGTTGCTTCTCACCACCCGACAGAAAACTACCTTTCAATCCCACTTTTGTCTCATAACCCTAAAAAATATATAGAAGAAAATGAATAGATACATTATATAATTTTGTATTGTTTAACCCGAGGCAATTGCTCAATAAATTGATGAATATTAGCTTTATTTGCTGCATTGATAATGTCATCCATTGGAACATTTTCTAAGCCATATGCGATATTTTCAGCAATTGTTAAATCGAACAAAATTGGTTCTTGACTGACAAGACCAAAATGAGAACGAACCAATTGCAGATTTAGCTTTCGAATATCAACGCCATCAATAAGCTAGATTAAATGAACAAATTTTACATCATTACTCAAATTATTCGTTGAAGAGATACTAACTAGTTGACCACCTGTAACATCATAGAATCGTTCCAACAATTGAATAATTGTTGACTTTCCAGAACCGGATGCACCTGTAAATATCATATTATATAATTAATATTTAAGAGAAAAATTCAATTGAGACATACCAACAAAAGCCACACGTTGACCTTAGCAATGAATAAACATTTTAAAGAAAAACAGGAATAAAACGAAACTTAACTCACTTACTTGGTTTGATATGCAATTGAAATTTTTTAAGAATAATAGATGTTGGTCGAATTGGATAGATAAATTTGACTTGATCAAATTTTATCTCTCCACGAAAATCGACCTATACGAAACATATTGTATCGATGGTGTGTGCGTAGTTGAAGAAAAATAGTTATCTTCTCTGTTCTCTTACTAATTTTTGCCCTTCAGTAGATGTATTGTCAATAGCTGGTGTCCGATCAAATAAATCAAAAAATGTTTCAGTAGCTGAAAATGATGCAGCGATTCTCTGAGATCTAGAATGAAGACAGTAGAAGAAAGAAAGCATAATATAGATGAAGAGTGTTACAGTATTCCGATTTGTCTAAGTGCTCTTGTTGATAAAACAGCAAAACCAAAGACCCTAATAAATTGAAAAAATAATAAAGCATTGCTTCTAGATTATCAAACTGCAGTTTCAATCACATTATAATACGGTCTGAGGTGAGTTCGTTCTTTTCAGCAAGGACAAGAGCACACCAATACACAAATGCCACAGTATATGTATCTAGTATCCAGTATATGCCATATATCACTGCATGTAATATCGCAGGTTTCCAAGACGATCTATGAGAAAAAAATTGATTAAAAACTTATCTATTTCTAATATTCGATTGACCAACATAAATGCTTCATGAATAAGTTCAGAATATTGTCGTAACACTTCCTTTTCTATTGACAACTGTTTTATTGTACGCATATTATGAATAACTTCAACAACAAGCTACAGAAGTAAAAGACGAAATCAGCGTCATGCATTTGATTTATCAAACAACTCATGAAAAAATAATTTCTTTACAAAAATAAAATTATCAGCCACAACTAGATCTTACCGTGCTTGCTTGTCCGATAATATGATTAGATTGTTGAGCCGTCCATACACGTAAGTACACATCCACACAGGTGATTATGCAAAGGATAAAAATAGGCGCAAAAATAATCAATGTTAATTGCCAACTTAAGAAGCATCCAGATAGAATTGCAAAAAACGACATTGCGCCAACTTCACAAATGGCTCCTAATCGTGTACCAGTCATTTCTTGAACAGCTAAGGCATCAGAAGAAAGACGAACACAAATGGCACCTGAACTATTTTCTGGTCGATCAAAATAAGCAACTTCTTGACGAAGTAGACATGCAAAAGCTTTCGAACGAATACGTTCTGTCAATTTTGATCCTGATATAGCAAAAGCTGTATACTATAGAAAAGAGTGAATACATGATTGCTGAGATTCAGAAGCAGCATTTTTACCTGCAAGAAACGAAGGATAAATGCAAGAACCCCCAAAAGTAAAAAAAGAAAGCTGGTAATCAGCACTTGATGACGTCGTTCAAATGTCGAACAATATTTGAATGCCTAAACAATAAATAGATCGAAATAAAACAATGTATATTGTCAATCTTTCCGCACAATATTTATATCAACGAATTACTCACATTGACTATTTTGCAAAGTAAAAATGCGAACACTGGTTGAGAAGCTCCAAAAAGTAAACATGCTATGCAACCAATTAAGATCGTGATCCATTCAGGACTATTCATTGACAAGAGTCTGAAGAAGACAAATCTTCTGCGTTGTGGCCGTGAATTTTTCTAAAAAAAAGCATTCTCAATAATGATTTTTATAAATAATTGCAGTAGTTTTTGTACTTGATTCACATCAATAGTTAGACTATCGCTAAGCAAACGAGAACGTTCCACTATTCAAGAAAAACATGAGAAAGAAAAGTGAAGATAATTACTATTAAAATATTCACATACATATCGACTTTTCCTCTTCGTCTGTTGCTTTTTGTATGCTCATCATATCATCTTGATCATCATTAATTCTTTCCATTTTTTGACTTTTGATCATTGTTTGATATTTGCCTCCTTCTTTTGCTATCAATGTTTCATGTGTACCTTGCTCAATCACACTTCCCTTATCTAATACATATATTTGATGAGCATTTTGAATTGTAGTCAAACGATGAGCTATAACAATAGTAGTACGACCTACACAGAATAATATATCAATACGATAAATAGACAAAACAATTGCTACCTTTGCATGCTCGATCGAGTGCTTCTTGAACAATTTTTTCACTAACATTATCAAGTGCACTTGTTGCTTCATCAAGTAAAAGTAAGGTAGGTTGTTTGACAAGAGCACGAGCTAATGCAATACGTTGTTTTTCGCCACCACTTAACTGTATACCACGTTCACCAACAAGGGTATCATATTTCTAAACAAGAAATGATTATTTGTATATATGTATATAAATATAAGAATGATTGTTTGGCACAAACATTTGGTAATTGCATGATGAAATTATGTGCATTTGCTTCTCGTGCTGCTTGTTCAATTTCTGTTCGTGTTGCATTCAATTTACCAAAACGAATGTTTTCATAAATACTCGTACCGAACAGAATCTATTAGAATAGTAAATCAACTAGAAGAGGAAAAATAAAAAAACAAAGCATACTGGTTCTTGACTAACAACTCCAATGTTTTGTCGAAGTTGTTTTACATTGTAGTCTGTTATTGGTTGACCATCAATCGTAATTCGACCTGATGAAGGTTCATAGTAACGAAGAATCATTGATATGGATGTACTTTTTCCTACGAAGAAATGATAAACACAAATGAGACGATCTTAACATGTCTATTTTGTAGAATAAAAAGGCTTACCACAGCCACTTGAACCAATAAGAGCAGTTGTCTGACCAGCACGAGCAATAAAAGAGAAATTACGCAGAACTGATACATCTTTTCGAGATGGATAAACAAAGTTGACATTGTCAAATTCAATATCACCATGGATATTATGCATCGATTCTGCATCATCGTTCCACACATCTGTTTCATTGATAGTTGCGTCATTTCCCTACATCATGTAAATAAATACAAAACATTGCTATTGATGTGAAACCTATATTTATTCGGATTCACCTCCTCAATAAGTCGAAATACTGATGATGCTGCGCTTCGAGCTTCTGCAAACGATTCAAAGAAAGGAGCAACACCACCGAAGAAAAACAAACACTGTGTGAAAATAGAGGCAACCTATATTACGATAATCGTCGTTTATTCATTTGATTATTAGTTGATTATATGAATTACTCACGACAAGAATATCACTTATGTTCAAAGTATGAGGATCTTTGTTTGACATAAGAAGAGAACCAAAAATGAAACAAACTGCATAAGCTAGATAGCTTATCAGAGCTAACCACCCACAAAAAAGTCCAATCACTGCACCTTGGCGTATACTACTTCGACGATTTGGATACAATTCTCTTTCATATCTAAATGCAATAATAATGACAACATGTTTTATGATATCAAATAAATAAACTATTTCTATATATTCGCTTACCGTTTTTGCTCAGATTTGGTACCATTGAAAGAAAGAACAGTTCGCAATGAACTAAACACCTCTTGAACGATTTGTCCTGCTGTTGAGTATGTCGTTAACTGTTTCCTTGATTCATTAGCGACGAACTGTAACTATTTATACAGATTTAATTTATTGAACAATACTTCATACCTTTGAAAACATAGATGAGCTACCACTGGCCAAAGCTAACAAACATAGCATGATCAGAGTCAATTGCCAATTGACAATGAAAGATGCTATAATTGAACCAATAATAACGAGATACGTTGCTATCAGTATTAAGAATTCGACACAAATGCCTTTCTTGATCTTTGCAATGTTACTAAACAAGAATTGTATCAGATACAGTTTTTTGTGATAAAATATCACAATAGTTTACTCAAATAGTTTAGCATTGAGGTGACTAGTCGGTTTGGTATCCATATAAGGAATGCTCTAAAAACAAAAAGAGAGAGTCAGCCACAGATAGTTAAATTCAACTAACGTGAGTGCCAAGCTAACTCCGCTTCGAGTTTTGGAATTTGGCTCTATCTATATTTTTCAAATTCTAGTATAACTTCGAGTTTACGTTTTTCGAAAACTCTAACGCAACTTGAACTCTAAAAGTCATCCTATAAGCAATTATATTTTATTAATTTGAACCGTTTTGCAAATGCATCACTAATTCGTGTTCTTCAAATTAGATTTTTATTATTTTCACTTGACAACTTACCAAGTCCATAGAAATTTAATTGTGACTCATAAAAGTCTATTAACGTCAACTTCACTCCAACTGTACTTGTCAAATATCAAGCACAATTATTACTATGATCTAACAAGTAAACGTCATCAGATGTTACTGTCCAATTTCAAGGACTGTTTGCCTCCAGATACTAGATACTACTCTATTGGAAGCCTCAAACAATTTCAGTTATTATTCAGACTTGGCAGAGTCATTGAATTTTATCTTGAAACCATCTCCATTTGTTAGTCTCGTATACGTTGGCTTCTATGAAGAACGTCAGAGTTTGTTGATGTCATATATCTAACACACGAACTTTACAAAAAGAACGCTTTCCGAAAAGCCCGAAAAATACAAGAATATTTGGAAAGAGTTCCTGTCTTGGGAATAAGAAATCTACAAATTCTGAAGCTTGTCATATAAGCCACTGTATATGAGACTAGCAAATGAAGATAATTTCAAAATAAAATGCAAAAAAAACGATTTCTTTTCAAAATCTGAGGTCCACAGAGATTTTGGGAGATAGGCATATTGAAAATTGTACAGTTCTGTCAAGTGTCAATAAGAACTAAAATTCTAGATTGATTTTTACTAGAATATTATATGGTGCCTATGTGCGAAAAATCATTGAACTCTGAAGATGATATCTATAGAGAACTCTTAGCATATTCACTCAACTGCACTTCAACTTCCGCAGATAAAAGTGTGTACTCTGAATTGAAGTGCCGTATCTCTGGACAGAATAAGCTCGTTTCCATATACAACAACCTTAGAAATAAGTAAGAGGATTGAAATAACGACATATGAGTTCATCGATATTTCCTTACTGTTGTTTTAAAATTACACTGTCCAGACTTCAGTTTTCTAGAAATATTTCTAGTTGTACTATATGTAAAATTGTATTAATAATGAATATGGGTGTTTCCATAAATGTAAAGTGATCATCTACTGAAATGGAAAATTCCTCAAAAGACAACAAATGGTTGCCATCGCTCTATAGTATTTCAAAACGATCATACGTGATTCAAGTTCTAAGAAAGTATCTAATACAAGGATGACAGCAAGATTGTAAATAAGTTTTTATTGTTGTCATGAATTCTTGCTTTCTTATCTAGAAGTTCTTGAGATACAGGCATCTGTAAGGATACAAGGAGTGTCCTAGAAGTTCTGGAAAGATTTTAAAATTCATCGTTCTCGCATGAATTAACAGTAATTTCTTTGAAACTTCGACACATTATTGTGCATGCTTAATACTACATAACTGCAACGTTTGATGTCTACAGCTTTTATTATGCTTGAGAACCAGTTACAAATATTTTCATCGACTATTTTTTCGATTTTCCCCATTATTTCAGTTAATATTTTTAAGACGCTACAACTTTTTGAAATAAAAAGGAACTCAGATCAAGTTATTAATGCTCGTGAAATTTTATTAACATTCTAATCGATTAATAATTTCAATCATACCGGTGATTTATCGTTCATTTGTTGCCACAGAAAAATGCTAGATTTGTTATATTCCTTTTGAATGTCGTTTTTCAAAATAATCATGATTTTAAACAAATGATGCACGTCGCTATGAATGCTATCAAACGTGCTTTTATGAATCGAATTGAATCAATAAACTGTACTGCAAGGGTAGCCAGAGTTTGGCCTATGGAAAATGTATCAGGTGCAGTAAACGAAAAATTAGGAAGGCAAAACGACTGTAATATCAGACAAGTGAAAAATAACATTCGAAAGGAATGGAACAGATTTAGTGTTTCTTTGTGTTAATGAATAATCGATAAAATGTCAGCACGATTCAAAATTAGCAACCGATGAATGTAGTAATCAAATACACGAACATTGATAACTTGATGTGAGTTTCTTTTTATTTCGATAGGTTGTGTTGCTATAACAACATTAACCAAGATGATAAGGACAATTGCAAAAATAGTCCACAATAGTGTTGTTAAAGATACACATCCGTAGCAAAAGCTACAGATCGCAAACTTTGTAATTATTTAGTACTGAGTAGGTACAATAATCCTCCAAGGTTTCAAAGAGCATGCTTTCGTTATATTGCGAGAACGATGGATTTTTAAATTGTTTCAGAACTTCTGGGTGCCTTTTATAACTTTTATCCAATACGTTAGCTTATTTCGTGGATTAACTAGAATCGCTAACATGTGAACAGTGACGATTTCTTTAAAAGAAAGAACATAAGATATTATAAATTTACAGTAACGCAAAAACAAAATACTGAAATTAATCTGTGGGGAAGTTTTGTGTCAATGGCTGTATATTTGACTTACGCGTTGAACAAATGATTGGAAGAGAACAACACTCATACGAAATATCTGTCGTTCCACACTAACGATCCAAATGTAATATGCCATCGAACCGGTCAGAAATTCAATACTGCCAGTAACTATATCGACAAAGAAAAACAAAGCAATGTCCATAATTTTTTAGAATGAAATTATTACGCGCATATCACTTACTGAATAACCACTGAATTAGGATCATCACTTTTTCTCGAAATGAAGGCATTGATGTAGCGAAGGTTGATAAAGAAATTACAGCACTATGATGGTGCAATCTAGAGTGAAAAGATACCAAAGAAAAATAAAAGAAATGCATAGTAACTAATAATAGCTTGCAGTGAATTACTTATGCAATGAAACATTACTGAATATATTGAGCTCGATGCCTTGTGGATATGTCGTGTTGTTCTTAATTGAAGCTGTTAAATTTTGGTGCTGATGATCGCAATTACCACCAAATGACTCAATAGCGAATAGCCCTGTGAGCCGACCAAAGAAAACTAGGTTAGCTATAATGCAAATCGCATGTAACACTGCCGAACATATTGCAATCAACATGAGGACAACATCGATACGATTTGCAAATCGAAACTACGATATAATCGACTGCATCAATCAGTTTGCATATATATTTGAATACACTTACTAAGCTAAAAACACCAACTGCTTCATCTTTGTCACTTTGTTCAACATTATCCTCTAATTTTATGTATTTTGTATTGCTTTCTTTCCTACTGAAACATCGGCGCCAATCAGAAAATCTATTAAAAATAATGAATTCAGTGTACTTTTCTCAAAATTGTTTTTCCATTAGATCATACTTATCGCTTAAAAGTTGTTGCCTATTTCCATGATCGTCATCATCATCACCAATAGACAATTTATTGATTGTTTTTAACAGAGGTTGTCGATCCGTCATTTTTTTTTTCACCAAAATTATCTTGAAGAATATTGAGGAGAAGCATGCGTCAATTCTTGTAATTAAAAGTGATTCGTTATAGTTTGTGACTAGTCATGCGTTTCTTTTCAATTATTTAGGAGTATTGCTCACAGAGAAATATGTATGCAATCAAGCAATCACCTAATTAGCGTCAAACACACATTCCGAACAATATTCTAAATTTTCTATTTAAAAAAGCCTTGTATTCATTTATAGAAGCTTTTCAAAGAAATTTTCTGTTCTTTTTACTAATTTAAACTTAGAATTTTTGTATTCTAATGCCAATCGTTGAATAATAGTGACCCTAATGAGATTCATTAACCTCTTGGATGCCACTGTCTTCAGGCTGAAGACAAGCAGAACGAAAGAAAATTGTTTGTGTTCTGTTGCATCGATAGACAGCTGGTAACATAGAGCAAGTAGATGAAGGATAGTTTTTTTCGTAATAGACTATATCATTTGTATACACCTAATTAACCATGACTGAACGCAAGAGAAAATGATTTTCTAATTTTCCTATATCTTCGTGCAGAACGCAAGAATTTGTCGGGATCCAGAAGGTTAAATTCAGAACCGACGGTGTATTTTTCCATTGGCAAACATAAACTCAAAATTCAAAAACTATTATGTTAGGTCCTTTACCCGTTTTCTTTATTATTCTTCTTCCTTCGTTTTAAAACCAAACAAGCGAATGAATCAAAAATAAAAAAGCAGCAAAGAATGTTGTTTCTCTCTTTCTCTCTTCTTCCATGATGAAAGTACCATTGAGAAGAAGAATAAGAATGCCATTGAAGTGCAGTAATGATATCACAAGAACATGGAGTCTCCTTATGTCAGGAGAGACATCTCCTAACATAACATATTAAATTCAATTTCGTTTATTTTTTCAATTTAAATTATTCAAATAGAACACTATCTTCAGCCTCAAATTAGTGTTGTTTAAATTCTTAAAAATCGACTAATATTTATTTAAAAAAAACTTGTTTTATGCCTTAAATTCTTTTTAAAAAAGTCAACCGAAAATTTACAGTTTCGTTCGTTAAATTAAAAAAAATACTCATAGCAATTTTGAATAAAACGTGTACATTCGGCTTTACTTTAAACTAGCTGCAATTTATAGGGTTCGCTAAATACTGAGTGTCACTATTTCTATTTAATGAGCTGTAATTTGTGAAGCATCCTAAATTACTGCTCTTGTCTGTTTCTTCTTAATTGACTGCAAGTTATTCCCTCTACTGAAAGGAGGGTCATACACCGAGCAAGGTTCGTATGTTCGTGACTCCGTCCGTTCGTTCGTTCGCACAGAACGAAAAAATGTTTTTTTGACCTCTCACATCATCGTTTTTATAAGGGTTGACCGAAGGGTAATCAGGGTCGAGGAACTCGAATCTGATGTTAGTTTTTTAAAATTTTTTTCGGATCGATTTTTTTTACACAAAGGATCACNTTCGATGAACTAAAACTATAGAGTGTAATCTTGGACCAACCCCTCTTCCCCCTCAAGTTGATGACGTAATACTTGAACAGTCTCTAACGTCAAAATTATACAATAGTAAGGGATATAATATATAATATAATTTTGTATTTTTTTAACCTGAGGCAACCGATCAATAAATTGATGAATATTAGCTTTCCTTGCTGCATTGATGATATGTTCCATTGGAACATTTTCTAAGCCATATGCTATATTTTCAGCAATTGTTAAATCGAACAAAACTGGCTCTTGACTAACAAGACCAAAATGAGAACGAAGCCAATGAATGTTTAGTAACCGAATATCAACACCATCAAGAAGCTAGATTGAGTGAACAAATGTTATATGATTACTTAATCTATACGTTGAAAAAGTACTGACTATTTGACCACTAGTAGTATCATAGAATCGTTCCAATAGTTGAATAATTGTTGATTTTCCACATCCGGATGTACCTGTACGGATTGTATTACGTCATAAACATTTAATTAAAAGAAACATGTGATTCAAACATACCAACAAGAGCCACACGTTGACCTTATCCATGAATATAAATTTTTATTAAAATGATTTAATCACAACATTTCTCACTTACTTGGTTTAATATCCAATTGAAATTGATTAAGAATAATAGATGTTGGTCGAGTTGGATAGATAAATTTGACATTATCAAATTTGATCTCTCCACGAAAATCAATCTACACGAGTTACATTATATGTATGACACGTACGATCAAAAGAAAATAATTAGTTATGCTCTATGCTTTCTTACCAATTCTTGTCCTTCCGTAGATGAATTGTCGATAGTTGGTATTCGTTCAAATAAATCAAAAAACATTTTAGCAGCCGAAAGTGATGAAGCGATACGGTTAGATCTGGAATAAAAGCAATAGAAGCAAAAAATACCAAAGTAAAAATTGAGAGTTTTACATTGTCCCGATGATTCTTATTACTTCGATCGAAAAAACAACAAAAGCAAATACCCTAATAAATTGAAAAGAGAATGAAATGTTGTCTCCAAGTTATAAAAATAATGATCTCAATTACATTACAATACGGTTCGATGAGAGTTTGTTTGTCTCAATAAGAACAAGAGTACGCCAATATACTAATGCCATAATATATTCATCTATGACCCAGCATAGGTTCATAGCTATTGAATATATTATTGACGGTTTCCAAGACAATCTATGAAGAAACAAGATTAATTAAAACTTTATACAGATGTAAAATTCGATTGACCAACATGAATATTTGATGAAGAAGGTCAGAATATTGTCGTAAAACTTCTTTTTCTATCGACAGCTGTTTTATTGTACGAATATTGTGAAAAACTTCAACAGCGAGCTGCGCAAGTAAAAGACAAAATGATTTTAGTGTATTCAATTTATCAATCAATTCATGAAATTTTAGCTTTCTGCACATAAAAACATTACTAACTAAAACATAACCTTACTGTGCATGCTCGTTCAACAATTTGATTTGATTGATGATTCATCCATAGACGTACTCGCACATCCGTATAAGTAACTATGGCTATGATAAACAGAGGACCCACAGCGATCAATGCTAATTGCCAACTTATGAAACTTCCAAGTAGAAGTCCAAAAAACATCATTGAAAGAGCTTCACAGATGGCTCCTAATCGTGTACCAGTCATTTCCTGAATGGCAGATGCATCAGAAGAAAGACGATTATAGATCGCACCAGAATTGTTATCAGACCGATCAAAATAAGCAACTTCTTGACGCAGAAGGCATGCAAAAGCTTTCGAACGGATGCGTTGCGTCAATTGTGATCCAGATATAGCAAAAGCTGTATACTAAAGAAAAGCTCGAAGAAATCATTGATTAAAATCAGAAATGGTGATTTTACCTGAAAGAAACGGAAGACCAGTAAAACAACACCCACAAGTAAAAAAAGGCAAGAGGTAATCAACACGTGACGATTTCGTTCCGAATTAGAACAATATTTGAATGCCTACACAATAAACCAATCGAAATAAAAATATATACATATAAATAGTCAATCATTTTTTTCACAATATTCACATAGCTGGATTACTCACATCAACTGTTTTGGCAAGTAAAACTGCGAACATCGGTTGAGCCGCTCCATTAAGTACACATGCTATACAACCAATTAAGATGGTAATCCATTCAGGACTATTCATTGACAAGAGTCGTAAAAAGACAAATCTTTTTCTCATTGGCTTGGAACTTTGCTAAATTATAGATTATTATTAATGGTTTTTATAAATAATTTCGATAGTATTTGTACTTTGTTCACATCAACAGGTTGACTAATGCTAAGCAAACGAGTACGTTCAACTATTCAATAAAAAAAGCGAAGAGCAATGAGGACTATTAAAACCAGAATATCAACAGACTTATCGACTTCTCATCTTCTTCTGTTGCTTTTGCCATGCTCATGATATCATTTTTATCGTCATCAATCCTCTCCATCTGCTGACGTTTGACCATTAATTGATACCTACCTCCTTGTTTTGCCATTAATGTTTTATGTGTACCTTGCTCAATTACACTTCCATTATCTAATAAATATATTTGATGAGCATTTTGAATTGTAGTCAGACGATGAGCAATTACAATAGTTGTACGACCTATAGATAATTATACGATAATACAATAAGCAGATAAAATAATTGTTACCTTTGCATGCTCGATCTAGCGCTTCTTGAACTAGTCTTTCACTAATATTATCAAGTGCGCTTGTTGCTTCGTCCAATAAAAGGAATTTAGGCTGTTTGACAAGAGCACGAGCTAATGCAATACGTTGTTTTTCACCACCACTTAACTGTATACCACGTTCACCTGCAAGTGTTTCATATTTCTAACCAAGAGAAAAACAATACATATATGTAGATAACGATGAGTATTTGACACAAACATTCGGTAATTGCATGATAAAATTATGCGCATTTGCATCTCTTGCTGCTTGTTCAATTTCTGCTCGTGTTGCATTCACTTTACCGAATCGAATGTTTTCATAAATACTTATACCAAACAGAATCTATTACAATAGTAATAATAAATAGACAATGAGAAAAGAAGGACGAAAAAAAGAAGCATACAGGTTCTTGATTAACAACTCCTATGCTTTGTCGAAGTTGTTGGACATTGTAGTCTGTTAACTGTTGACCGCTGATTCTGATTTGACCCGATGAAGGCTCATAGTAACGAAGAAAAAGTGATATACATGTACTTTTTCCTATGAATAGATTATTAATCCACCCTACACCCAGTTTCGTCTTTGTTTTACAAAAGACTTACCAGAGCCGTTTGAACCTACAAGAGCAGTTGTCTGACCAGCACGAGCAATAAAAGAGAGGTTACGTAGAACTGATGCATCTTTTCGAGATGGATAAGTGAAGTTAACATTGTCAAATTCAATATCACCATCGATATTATAAAAAGATTCTGTGTACTCTTTCCATACCACTTTTTCATTAACATCTACATTATTTCCCTATGTAATGAAAACAAATGAAGAACATTTCTCTATATAACATATTAATTTATTCGGATTTACTTCTTCAATTAGTCGAAACACCTCTGCTGCTGCACCTCGAGCTTCTGAAAACGATTGAAAGAAAGGAATCATGTAATTGAACATACCCATACATTGTGCAAAGATAGGAACAATCTGCATTAAGATAACATTCATATATTCATTTTCATCTTTTTTAATCGCAGGAATTACTTACGATCAGAATATCAGTAATATTCACTCTATGATCATCTTTGCTGGACATAAGAAGAGAACTAAAGATAAAGCCAACTGCATAAACAAGGTATGTCATCAGAGATAACCATCCAATAAAAACTCCATACAGTACACCTTGACGCACATTACTCCAACGAGTTGAATACAATTCTCTTTCATATCTAAATGCAAAAACAAAATAACAACATCATTTAAGATATCACATAAGTACAACTACAGTCGTTGACAAGTCCAGCAGCTAGGCAAAGTCTATTCAAATACGAACTTTTTTCACTAAAACTTCTATCACAAATAGAGATCAATGGATCCTGCTCACAAATATCGTCTCGAGTTCAATCCTTTTCGTCAGACTGAGATAGAAAGGCAATACGAAAGAACTTTTTAAATTATATTATCTCAAGCTAGCAAACAGATCTAAAGATGTTCGATTTCTTGTTTGAAAGTCTGACTGTTGATCTTGTGTTGATAAAGATTTCATTAGAAAAAGACGATCGTTTGTCAAGTTATGAACCATCTTCTATCAATCTCTTGATCTGAGAACTCCTAATCAAGTTGGTATTTGACTCGAGTCTAAAGTTAAATTCCATTTTGTGCCTAGAAAGCAACATCAAACGAAGTTACATCGCACTCAATATGCTATGAAACCTTTAGAATTATACCGAGGAAGAAAGTGAAGATTTGAGTCCATCTATATCTCAAGATCGACATTCCTCAGAAGTCGTGAAGTGAGAACAAATTGATTTACTCATTGTGATGTAAGTAGGTGAGTATCAGAACTATCTATTTCAGTGCAAGTATTGTTGTAGCTCCATCAAATACAAGGAAAGGTGCGTAATCTCTGCATACCATTTTTTGTACTCTGAACAGGGGAAAGAAGGCGATTTGTGGAAACTTTGCGAAGTTTTAATTTTTCTTTATTTTTACCTTGAGCAAAACCTAATGGATCGTATCATTTCTGAAATCTGTATTTATTCTCATATCGAAAAATATGTTTTATTTATAATCTATCTCTTAAATAGCTCATCCGATTTCAATGAAAAAATTTCAAAAGAGTTATTTCCAATAACTATAGTAAGTTTCAATGACAGAAAAGCGTTCCAAAGAATGTTCTTTTCTCACTCAAGAGTGATTGATACAAAAATATGACTTTCGAGATAAGAATAAACTCAGATTTAAGAAACAATATCATCCGTTGGGTTTGCTTAAGTTAAAAATAAAGCAAAACAGAAAGTTTCTGAGGAACGTTGATCTTTAGATATAGATTGACGTGGATCTTCCCTTTACTAACTTGACAAACAATCGTCTTTTTCTAATAAAATCTTCATCAACACAAGATCAACAGTCAGACTTTCAAACAAGAAATCGAACATCTTTAGATCTGTTTGCTAGCTTGAGATAATATAATTTAAAAAGCTCTGTCGTGTTGATTTTCTATCTCAGCCTGGCGAAAAGGATTGAGGTCGAGACGATATTTGTGAGCAGGATCCATTGATCTCTACTTGTGATAGAAGTTTTAGTGGAAACAGTTCGTATTTGAATAGATTTCGTGTAGCTGCTGGAATTTAGTCCACAACCACATTTTTATATGGTGGTTTACCGTTGTTGCACGAATTTAGCACCATTGAGAGAAAGAACAGTTCGCAGTGAACTGAACACTTCTTGAACAATTTGTCCTGCTCTCGAATATGCTTTTAACTCTTCCATTGCTTCATTAGCTGTGAACTGCAACAATTTATATAGATTTAATTGATTGAACCACACTAAATACCTTAGAAAACATAAATGAACTACCAATGACCAAAGGTAATAAACATAGTAGAATCGAAGTCAATCGCCAATTGACAACAAAACATTCTATTAACCAAGCGATGATACCGCATAACGTTGAAAACATTATTATAAATTCACAACCAATGCCCTTCTCGATCTTCGCAATATTGCTATACAAGAATTGCATCATATTATCACAATTGATATGAAATTTCTCAATAGCTTACTCAAATAATTTAGTATTGAGTTGACTAGTCGGCTTACTATCCATATAAGGAATGGTCTAAAAATGGTGATAGAAAGAGAAAAACGGGCACAATCGGTGAAATTAGATTTCATCTGTGTTTTCCGAATTCCAGAACAGTTACAACTCTGAGCCTAGGTGTGAGTGATAGTGGCTGATTTTGAATATGTGTCGGTGAAAATGAAGAAACATGTAAACCCGAAGACCATATCTATAGACCACCCATACACTCTCTGGTTTAAACCGACAGAAACTCCACTCTGACTGTAGTCATCTAATATTGAGTGTTACTTTAATTATCACTCAGCAAGGATATCTCCTTTATGCTCTGTGCTAGTTTCATTGATTTTTCTTTATTGATACTAGATAGTACTCTAGTAAAAGCTTTCCAATAACTTCTGTCCTTATTGAGACTTGACAGAGCTATGGACTTTTCAATACGTAAATAATTTTCTGAGGACTCCTTTAAGAGTTCAATACTTTTGAAAAACCGGGCTTATGAAGGTAGTTTTGAGAGTGCCTCTTTTTGAAGGCCTCACATGTAGGAATGTATCAAGACTAAAAGTTTCTTAAGAAAAATTGGAATTTTTCTTTGGCAAGAATCTCCAACTCTCGAGATTTTTTATTAAGAATTGCTAAGCTTGGTTTCATCTTATAGGAAATACAATTGTATAGATCAGTCATGAAAGTGAAAAGTAAGTCTCGACAGTCTCGGTCAAAAAATGTAAAAAGCAACATTATAACCGAGACTGGTTGAAACTTGGCATTTTATTCTCATGACCTATTTGTCTAGTTATATTTCCTGAAAAATGAAATCAAGCTAAGCAATTCTCAGAAAAGAATCTGGTAGAGTTCGAGCTTCTTCCCAAAAAAAATTCCGATCTGTATTAAGAAATCTTCAGTCTCAGTTAGGGGTGTCAATTTACATTTTCTTTTCATTTAATTTACGCGTAAATAAAATTATGAGAGATTTATATTTATTGTAAATGTAAATTATTTGCTGCATTGATATATATTTACAAATAAATGTAACTCATCATGATTTACATTTAGAAATAAATGTAATTCATTATCATTTACATTTATCTGTAAATGTAAATCCTGCAACTAAACAATTTACATTTATTATAAATGTAAATTAATAATAACTTATATTTATTTTACATATAAATTTTTTTACTTTTCATAATTATTGAATATAAGTTGAAATAAATTGTCATATTTCTGTATAATACTTTACATAAGAAATATCACAGTCTTAATATTATTTTTGTATAATATATTTGTTGACTATCTTTTCTTTCAATTAATGGTTCTTAATTTTCGAAAAGATCTCATTACTTATCATAACAAGTTTCTCAAAGGAGACTCAACTCAGACTTTACGCTCTAGGAAAATAGAAAACGCTGCAGTGTCAATAAAAAGTCTAAAACATTTTTCTCGAACTACACACTTATTAGAAATCACTAATTATTTTTGATCAAATGTACTTAAAGTTTGTAGATACAAAAGTAGGTTTTTTACTACATCACAATGTTTCATTCTAATCGAATTAATTGACAATTCATGATTGATTTCGAACGTTTCTAACATACAATAGATATTCGTTAGGTCTTCCAAAACAAGTTCTTTCATGTGCATGAGGAATATTTTAAGACAGACAGAGCATGTTTATTCTTGTGTTGTTTATTAACTACTTTTCATACAGCTTTTGAAAATATGCATGATACAGATAGAAAAGAATACCAATAGACACCGAAACTCTTATATCATAATGTAAAGGCATTTTCGTATTTTATTTGTGTCTCATTGAAGTTATTATTTTACTTCTACTGGTATGAAAAGTATTTAAGTTCTTGTTTTTATCTAGTAGCTAATTCTCTAATTGGATATTGAAAGGAAGATTTTTAAGTTTTATCGCACACCACGCTTTTCTAATCTTAAAAGAAGAATAATCGAATCCGTCTTTTATAGGCATTATCTTAATTTGCCTCGATAGAAGAAGCTTTAAAATATGCACTTGCCACTATGCGTTTGTTAACAACAGACTTAAAATGCTGTTTGATAAAAAAAAGATCTATTGAACTATAATGATCATGTAGACTATGAAATCTTTTTTCCTTTCTTCAAATGTGTAGGGTGTGGGTGATTTGTGTAGCTTCTCTTCTCTCATTCATAGCAACACCCACACACACACTCGATTAAGTTTCTTCTATCGAAAAAAACTAAGACTAAGATATAGAAAAACTTCATTGGTTTTCATAAGACTAGAACATTTTAATATTGAATACCAGTCAAAATTCATTATTTGAAGATCTCATTGTATATGTTGTTATGAAACCATTACGGTCCACTATACAGCTTAAAGTATAAATGAGGACATAAAGTATTTTATACCACATTAATGCTCATCAAAACTTGAGTTTATGAGTGTAATTAGAGCAATTATTGCCTATGAAACTATTGAAACTGCTTAAATTACATGTCAAAAGCAATTCATACTTTATGATTTTCATTCTTCTTGTATATATTTATTTTTTCTTTTTTCTTACATTTACCAAACAGAAATACTTTCAAATCATGATCTTTGTCAAATAGTGTGCCCACTGGTCGATAAACCGAGAATTTAGGTTCAAAAACAACTTTTTGTCGGCGGTATGCCATGATTTTTTTGAAAAAATTCTTTTCCGTCAAAAGTTTATACGTGATGTGTCTATCGATTTACTTTTGATGAGAAGCACAAAACTGCTATGATGTTTATTTGAAAATATCTACATGAAGAATGAAAATCGTAAAGTGTGAGTTCCTTTTGACATGTATTTTAAGCAGTTTCAATAGCTGCATAGGCAATAATTGCTCCAATTACGTTCATAAACACAGCTTTTGGTCAGCATTGATTTGATATAAAATACTTTATGATGTCATTAAGAGTGTTAATTAACATTTTCTTTTCATTTAATTTACGCGTAAATTAAATTATGAGAAATTTATATTTATTATAAATTAAACAGTAAATGACACCCCCAGTCTTAGTACATCCCTACTTATATGCAATGGTTTATGTGTAGAATTTCACAGTTCGTGGAGCACGTATCTCAGCGAAAAGTAATTTTCAAAATTGAAGCTTTTACAAGTATATTGCAAAATATAAAAACATTTTTAAAATTCAGAATCTCCAAGGCACAAAGTCTAGAAATTCTGAAACTGAAGAGTTTGGGGTGAGTGTGGGTACGTGTTTATATCTCTATCAGCTTCTAAGAAGCTATTGATATATAGATTACAGCGAGCTTGAAAATAAATTTATATTGTGGTTCTAATATCTGAGATTTCTATATGGGAGCCCTAGAAGCTTCGGCATCTCTAAATATATATAACTTAAATCAAAAAACTTTCGCCTATTTATGGATTTGCTAGAAATGCTAATGTTTTTTGATGATGTCGGTTTCTGAAAGAGAATGTGCATAAAATTTTATAATTTTATAGAAACGCTGAGAAAAGAGTGAGATCAATCTCTGAAGATTTTTTTGTATAAATATTGGGTTGGTAAGAAAGGAAGTCCCCCATTTTCCCCCCGCTAGTTTTTTTTTCTTTTAAATATTTTTTAGTTGGGACTCATGTGAGGATATTAGATCAATCAATCAAATCTTGGACATTTCTAGTTTTGGCGAAAAAATAATGCTTCAGAGTTAGGATCATTTTCAACAATTATTGCTCTTTATGCTATATTATGTTTTTGTATTTCATCTACAGTTGCATCAGCAGTTATCAAAATTCTACTGCATATAGAGCTAAGGCTTCTCTATAATATAAAAACAAAAGCATATTAGACAACTGATCTATTAATTAATAACATGTCTCATAAAAGAGTACTCAATTATACACTTATTTTGCAGTACATTGGAAAGATTGTTTTGCTTATAACTTTATAACAATTCATTATTAAAAAGTGAAGCTTTTATCATTAGTAAACTTTCACAGAAGCTATCGAAATAATAAAAAAAAATAGAGAAAAGATCATGATTCTAAAAATGGTGATTCAAACTTTAGGAAAAAGACAACAAAGCAAGATGGTATAACCAAAAAACAGCTATTATCTCTAGGTTTTGAATATCACAATTCGTTTTTCATTCAAAATAATTATAATTTTCGGAATCAGCATATCAAAATACACTAGAAACTCGATAATTTATCGGAAAAAATTTTCTCAGGAAAATTTTTCCCTTACTCCCCCTCAGCCTTTTCTGAATAGAATTTGAGGCTGTACCCCCCTACAGGTGAAAATTTTCCTGAGAAAATTTTTTCCGATAAATTATCGAGTTTCTAGTGTATTTTGATATGCTGATTCCGAAAATTATAATTATTTTGAATGAAAAACGAATTGTGATATTCAAAACCTAGAGATAATAGCTGTTTTTTGGTTATACCATCTTGCTTTGTTGTCTTTTTCCTAAAGTTTGAATCACCATTTTTAGAATCATGATCTTTTCTNGGGTGTGGTTGTGGTTGTGGTTGTGGGTGTGGGTGTGGGTGTGGGTGTAGGTGTGGGTGTGGGTGTGGGTGTGGGTGTGGGTGTGGGTGTGGGTGTGGGTGTGGGTGTGGGTGTGGGTGTGTGAGTGTGGGTGTGGGCGTGGGTGTGAGTGCGGGTGCGGGTGTGGTAGATGTGTGGGTTTGTGGATACTCTATTCTCTTACAACACCCACACTCACACCCACACCCATACCTACACCCACACCCACACCCACACCCACAACCACAACCACAACCACACCCACACCCACACCCACACCCACACCTACACCCACACCCACACCCACACCTACACCTACACCCACACCCACACCCACACCCCACACCCCACACCCCACACCCTTAATACTCTTTCAGAAATATATTTGTTTGGTTAAAATGTTCGAATGACTATCACTATGAAATGTTCTGAGTATGCATGCGATAATAAGCTCCATGTTGTTGCATCAGTTTTGTGCGAGTACCGATCTCGACAACACGCCCTTTCTGAAGAACACAAATCAAATCAGACGAAAGAACGGTCGATAGACGATGAGCAATATTTAGTGATGTGCGACTAGGATCTTCTGTTTGAACTTGTTCGAGCGCTTGCAGTACAATCTATATACAACAATATATTTTTCCCAAAGAAACAAAGAAACAAAGACCTGTTCATTGTATGAGTCCATGGCACTTGTCGCCTCATCCAGAAGCAGTATCACAGGTTGACGAAAAATAGCACGGGCAATGGCGATACGTTGCTTTTCACCGCCAGACAACTGACCACCTTTCATTCCAACTTTCGTCTCATAACCCTAATATTGTACAACGATGACAGATATGAAATGTTACCTCCAAACTGACCTGAGGCAGTTGTTGAATAAATTGATGAATATTGGCTTTCTTTGCTGCATCAATTATATTGTCAATTGAAACGTTCTCCTTTCCATATGCGATATTTTCGGCAATAGTCAAATCAAACAAGACTGGTTCTTGACTGACAAGGCCGATGCAAGAGCGAACCCATTGGATGTTTAGTTGCCGAATATCAACACCATCAAGACGCTTTACAAGTCTAGATTATCATTTTTATTCAACATCAATAAGATACTCACCACCTGACCATATGTAACATCATAGAATCGTTCTAACAGTTGAATAACAGTTGTTTTTCCACATCCCGATGCACCTACATGAATCTTATTACATCATTCTTCAATAAAAAACACAATTTATTGAAACTTACCGACAAGAGCTAATCGTTGACCTTATTGATAATGAAAATTTTAAAAAAATAGATCACGTTAACACACATGTCTTACTTACCAGGCTTGACACTCAATTGAAAATTGTCAAGAACAAGTGATGTTGGCCTTGTGGGATAAGCAAATTTGACTTGATCAAAGTCAATCTCTCCCCGAAAGTCATCCTATACAAAGCATGTGAATTTTTTGACAAGAATACACAATTGAGAGAGAATATTTGATTACTAGACTCACTTACCAATTTTCGGCCTTCGGTCGAATTATTGTCAATCAATGGTGTTCGATCGAATAAATCAAAGAATCGTTGAGCAGCCAATAGTGAGCTACCAATATCTTGAACCCTGAATATTGACACCAAAATTAGAAAACAAAATGAAGTGAGAATGTCGATAGCTCACATGCTCAACACAATTGAAATCGTGTGTAAGAAAATGACAGCAAAGGTCAAGATTCTATAAAAATTAATAATCGATTTAAAACTCTCAGGACATTATAGAATTATTCTTTTATTTACGTTATAACATTTTCCGGCTGCAATTGATTGTTTTCGATAGAAATAAGAACACGCCAACACAATACCGTCATAATATATGCCTGAAATGCCCAAAAGGTCCCATATGTCAGTGCTAATGGTATGCAATAATTTCGACTAATGCTATTCAAAAGTATCAGTAATAAAAATTTGTAACATAGAATAATTTAAGTACGAACGTATATGATTCATAAATTAGTTTGGAATATTGTCGCAAAAATTCTTCTTCCATTGTTAATTGTTTTACTGTGCGCATATTGTGAATGATTTCTACAGCAAGCTATTAAGGACAAAACAATGTGAATAAGGATGACGTTTTTTTGTCAAATGCCATTTCATAAAGCAATCTTATCTTACCGAGCTTGCACTTTCGAGAACGTGACTATAGTGTTCACTTCGTCGCATTTCCAAGCGTAAACCAAGGTAAAAAATACCGACGACAATGAGAAGAGGCAAAAATATGATTAGTATCAGTGTCAGTGGCCAACGAAATAAAAAACCAAATACAATACCAAGGCAGAACATGGCCACAAGTTCACAAACAAGGCCTAATCGTGTACCAATCATATGTTGAATGGCCAATGCGTCAGACGAGAGACGGGCACAAATGTTACCCGAACTATTTTCGGATCGATCAAAATAAGCAACTTCTTGGCGAAGTAGAGTCGCAAAAGCTTTTGCTCGAATATGTTGTGTCAATTTCGATCCTGATAAAGCAAAAGCTGTAAACTATCGAGACAAAGAAATAGCAAAAACATTGATCAATTCAGCAGCAATATTCTTACTTGAAAAAAACGAATGATCAAAATGATGATACCCAAAGCTACGCAGCACAAACTGAAAATGAGCACTTGATGACGTCGTTCCATATGTGTACAATCTTTGAAGGCCTAAAGATGGCAAACGTATGGTCACAAAATGACACAGACTAATCACTTGCGTTGACTATCTTTTGAAGTAGAATAGCAAGTATTGGTTGAATTGCTCCACTAGCTAAGCATGCAATACAACCAATTAACATGGTAACCCATTCTGAACTGCTCATAGACAACAGTCTGAGAATAATCAATCGTCGACGCAATGGCGATGACCTTGTCTAAAAAGAGTTCATTTATGAAAAAGAAACCTTAAGAAAAATTTCTTCTCTAATTTGTACCTCATCCGCAAAATCATTTTGATTGTTGCTAAGCAGACGAAAATGTTCGACTTTTTGAAAAGAATAGATTATGAATCATTTCAGAATATTTCAATCAAGTAATTAACATACACATTCGATCTTCTCCTTGTTTGTCTTTTTCTTCCTCTTCGGAATTTGTTTTGCGCATGTGTTCATCAGCCTTATCTTCCGTTTCTTCTATACGTTGAGCTTTAATCATAGCTCGATATATACCTCCTTCTTTAACCATCAATGTCTCATGGGTTCCTTCTTCGATTACACCTCCTTTATCCAAGACATAAATACGATGTGCATTTCGAATAGTTGTCAAACGATGAGCAATCACGATGGTTGTACGACCTATGATATATAATATACATTTATGACAGAGAAAAAAAAGATATGCGTGCCTTTGCATGCATGATCAAGTGCTTTTTGGACAATCTTCTCGCTCGCATTATCAAGTGCACTTGTGGCTTCGTCCAATAAAAGAAAGGCAGACTGTTTGACAAGAGCACGAGCTAATGCAATACGCTGCTTTTCACCACCACTCAACTGAATTCCCTGTTCTCCAATGCATGTATCATATTTCTACACAAAAAGTCATTCAGATCCATAAGTAGAGATAAATGTTTGATGTGTACTTTTGGTAGTTGCATAATGAAATTATGTGCATGGGCTTCTCGTGCTGCTGCTTCAATTTCACTTCTTGTCGCATCTTGCTTGCCAAAGCGAATATTTTCATAGATGGTCGTATCAAACAGAATCTATTTCGAACTCAATTAGACAGAGAAAAAAAATAAAAGAAACATACTGGCTCTTGATTAACGATTCCAATATTTTGCCGCAATTGTTTAATGTTGTACTTCGTAACTGATCGACCATTAATGGTGATTCGACCCGATGAAGGTTCATAGTAACGAAGAAGCAATGAAATGCATGTGCTCTTTCCTGTTGATTTCGAAAATAATATATTATTGGCAATCGTTATTTTGTAAAAGACTCACCACAACCACTTGAGCCTATCAAAGCAGTGGTCTCGCCAGTACGAGCTACCAGAGTAAGATTACGCAAAACAGGTACATCTTCTCGAGCAGGATAAAAGAAATTAACATTGTCAAATTGAATGTCGCCATTAATATCAATTGATTCTGTGTTTGATTCAATCTCTTTGTGTATCTCTGTTTTAGTTTCGTTGGCCTCTGCTGCCTGATTTATGTGAACACAGACAACATAAAAATTGATATAAAGCATCTCATACAGTCTTATTCGTTGAATTTTGCCAGTCTATCCTGTGAACACGTTCAAATTTAGTCAAACTTTCAGGTTTTGTAGAACTCCTTGAGCTGATCATTTTGGTTTTAAATGTTTTAGGATCTAACTCTATTTTCATAAAGGCGCACTTAAAATGGTAACAATGAATTTTTGCATAAAATGTATTATTTTGAAAAAAACGAAAGCTTCGTCTTTATCGAAAAGTTATCCTTAGAAATTTGAAAAATTTTCACGCATTTTTATGCTACTCATTGGTTCGCATACCAGAGAAAAAGGATACGACAAAGTTGATCAGAAAATCGAAGATAAGTACTAGAATATTGGCATAGTCGATTTAATACAGCGGAATTCGCTCGACAACATGCCTAATTTAGTTTGCCGTGACCTTTGGTTTTGGAAGAAACGACAGTCAGAAGTATTTTACACCAAAATTTTCCACTAAAATTCTGATGAATGTATCCATGTAATCTAGTCAACCAACTTGACAATCCTCTCCAAATCCACAGAAACCTTCAGAGAATTGTAAAACTGATTATGCTGATCATTTTGATGATTGGTTACTCAATGTTGTACTCTATTTTCATAGAAATACACGTATATTAGTATGAAATAAATAAAAATTCCATTTTTATCAAAGAAATAGATAGTTATTCACTATAATCTACTCAAATTAGAAAACCAATAACATGTTTAGATTACTCGTGAAGAGCTAGATTAGTATCATTAGAAATCTTAAAAGTTATCATGTATTTTCATGATTACATCTGGTAGTTTAGTTCTTCTGTATATGACACAAACGACAGGGAAAGTCTATTAAAAACTCAATCAGAAAACTGGCATGTATCTGAATAGTAATATAATGAGTTCGAAACTTTTCGAAATTCCTAATGGTTTTGATGCAGGTTTTCATAAGCAATCTGAATATATTATCGGTTTTCTAACTTAAGTAGATTATAGTGAACAATTATATATTTTTCGATAAAGATGCAGTTTTTCGTTTTTTGCAAAATAATACATTTTATGCAACATACATTGTTACTATTTTATGTGCATCTTTATGAAAATAGAGTCAGATCCTAAAAAAATTTCTAACCAAAATGATCAGTTCAAGAAGTTCTACAAAAGCCCGAAAGTTTCACTAGATTTGAACGTGTTCACAGGATAGACTGGCAACATCCAACGGATACACCCATATACTAAATTTCACCTCATGAATGAGTCGAAATACTCGTTCTGCTGCACCTTGAGCTTCTGCAACCGATTGAAGGAAAGGACTTATTATTCCTAACATAAAAGTACTTTCTGCAAAAATTATGACAATCTGTATGAAGAAAAGATCATGTAACTAGTTTTGTACTGATTCATAATACGCATAGCTTACGACAATAATATCACTGATGTTCGATTTCCCATGTTCTGCATTAGGCGTTAGAAGATAGCCAAATAAAAAACAAATTGGATAAGTTATATAGATCGTTAGAAATATCCAGCCTACGAAAGTCCCATATACAGCGCCTTTGCGTACACTACTCCAACGAGTTGCTTGCAATTTGTTTTCGTATCTAGATGCAAATGATACTGTATCATCGCTTTGTGATTGTCTAGAAGCAAGCTATTATTTACCGTCTTTGTTCAAATTTGTCACCGTTAAGTGACAAAACAGTGCGAATTGAACTAAAAACTTCTTGAGCGATTTGTCCCGCTTTCGAGTAACTATTGGACTCGCGCATTGTTTCAATAGCAGTAAGCTGTAACAATTTATAGAAGTTCGACTAATTGAAATAACAATAGCACATACCTTAAAAAATATTTGTAAACCACCGACATGAAATGGTAGAATGCATATCATTATTAAAGTTAATTTCCAATTAACGTAGAAAGCTATGATGAAGTTATTCATAAGACAACAGAACACCATGAAAGTTATAAATAATTCGAAACCAATGCCTTTATTGATATGATCAATATTTCTATAAGAAAATCGTATCAAACGCTAATGTTTCGTATAAAATCTGAGAATGACTTACTTGAACAGCCCAGCATTGAATTGATCATTCGAATTCGTATCAAAATAACTGATGCTCTAACAGTAAAGGAAAGAAAATCATTTGTCATATAACAGCTTATGAAATATATGAAGGAGACATCAAAATATATAATGTCTCAATATTGGCTCATGGTTGTTGTGCATTTTGTATGATCTAGGCTTTGATAGGTTTTTAAAAAGCTTTTGTTCAATTCTTCATGAAAACCAACCATTGAAGGGTCTCATATATTACCCATTTGTAAAATATAAAGTTCATACTATCATACATCTACATACTTGAATTTCAATCAGGTTTAAAAAAACAAGCTCTGATCATTTTTCGTGTTCATTTTTGTCTACAATTATACTGGCATCCAATTAAGTATATGCACATGCGAAAATATGTCCCCTTGACAATATACATAAACATTTACATATGCTAATATCTGTTTCACAATATAATATCATTAAGAAAGAGTCCCACAGAAAAACCTACCAACTTATGAAAACTCAGTTGAGGGTCGAATTTTAGGTTTCCGAATGTTGATACTAAGTCTAAAATAATTAGGGTCTCAGAATACATTTGGTAATTGCTAATCTATTGTCTAATACTTTTATTTTTCAATTGTTATCCATGACTTTTTGGAGTATTTTGAGGTGGGCATTATCCAATGTGGTATGTCAGGGGCGGATTTCTTATCAATTATAGAGTGAACGAAGGTACATCGATTGATGAAAAAAATCGAAAACATGTGAACGTTTTTTTTTTTTGGTAGCTAGTACAAGTTGACTACTAAGAGTTGTTCCAGAACATTTTATGACTTGCTTTACTCAATGAAATTACAATATAATATATATGATCTTTGTTGAATAAAAACCTAATATGAGATTTACAATCAACTACCAAGCTGCATTAGAAATGAGTTATTCACTATACCTGGTAGATCCACATTATATGATCATGTATCGTATCGATGTCAATTTCTCCTATAGTTTCCATTTATCACGAATGTTCGAGCATATAGTTGAACTAGACAGCCGAACTGCTTTGAGTTCAAAATATAACCAACTGGTTGTTCTAGCATGTTGTGACAATGAAAGACCAGCCTTTTTCTTGGCATGCACATGTCCGTTCGATCGAGACAACTGCTTCCACATTCAACACATTCGAATCATTTTCACTTCTCAGATTTCACAAAATTACATTATTTGATCTATCTGCGTTGAGCTGGTGAGGACCTGACAATGGAAGGGTTTGTACTGATAAACGAATTGATTGACATTATTTGGGTCAAATGATCACTTTCACCGAGAAACTAACGAATTTAAAATATGACGTGCTGATGGCGTGCCTGGACAGAGATCCTTGAATTTCAAGATATGTCAAATTTAGATATAAAAATGAATCAGGAAAGGTTTTCTCCACTATTGTAAGGACAAAACATAGTGTTGTTCGGGCCGATTAGGGGGTTTGGAGGGATCCTCTTTCATATGGCCCTAACAACATCATGTTTTGTCCTGACAATAGTGGAGTCAACCTTTACCTGATTCATTTTTATACCTAAATTTGACATATCTTGAAATTCAAGGATCTCTGTCCAGGCACGCCATCAGCACGTCATATTTTAAATTCGTTACTTTCTCAGTGAAAGTGATCATTTGACCCGAATAATGTCAATCAATTCGTTTATCAGTACAAACCCTTCCATTGTGAGCATCAATGTAGTGAGATAAAATTGTTCACCTACCAAGTTCGGCACAAATTGGAAGCTCTATAGAACGAGCCGAGAATGTATTCACGAGATACGATCGAAAATTCTACTGTATGATCACCGATGATTTCACTAGTTTCTATCTGCCAAAACTATCAGCCTGTGTCTATCTTTAGATTCGATAATGGCAAGCGGCTAAACTTTCAGAACCGTATCGACCAGTCGCAGACATATTGTTTATGTGATTTGAATAGTTTTACTTAGGATCGGGACAGTTGCTCGCTATAGGACTCTATGTAACTGTTATAGCGAGCAAGTGTCCAAACAAGCAAGTGTCCGCGCGCAACTGTCCGGCGAGCAATTGCCCAACGAGCAACTGTCCTAAACCCAATACAACATTCGTGGAATCAAGTATTAGAGCAAAGAAAAATTGTCCAATAAAGTAGGATACAACAAGTCGTATTCTTCTCAGACTCTATTCAAGTGACAAAGTGAAGGTTCTGTATGTTATCTGCTTGAACGAAGAGTTCAATAATCAGAGGCGCTATCACTAAGTAAAATGGGTTTAGGACAGTTGCTCGTTGGACAATTGCTCGCCGGACAGTTGCGCGCGGACACTTGCTCGTTGGACAATTGCTCGCCGGACAGTTGCGCGCGGACACTTGCTCGTTTGGACACTTGTTCGCTATAACAGTTACATAGAGTCCTATAGCGAGCAACTGTCCTAGCGAGCAAGTGTCCTCGCGCAACTGTCCGGCGAGCAACTGTCCCGCGAGCAACTGTCCCGATCCCGTTGTATTATGTACTTCATTCTAATCTACCCGTCAAAGAAAAAACTAGTTCTGTTTTTCAAAAACGCTGCTCATCGCAACAAAAGTTCAGGTTTGTATGAATATAAGTGCAAACAGAGTTGGACAAAATATTCTAAGCACGAGCACTCGAGTACTATTTTGGTGGTACTTGAAATCCTAAATAAGTAAGCCTTATATCAAGATTATGCTTGACAATACTTGAGTGTATGTTTTCTGATGATATAATGAACAGATTATTTCTTCTTTTTGCTTTATACATGTAGGCATCGAGATAAATACATAGACACCACATCATGATGTAGCAACCAGCGTACTCCTTTTGTGAAACATGATCTAAAAGGAGTGTTGAAGTGTTTAGGGGTAGAAATTTGACCCCCCCCCCTCCCCCCACACACACACACAGACCGTGACAGACACTCACGTGACCCATCACAGACCGTGACAGACAGGCTTTGGAACCATCACAGACCGTGACAGAGAAACTGTAGTTCTAAAGCATCAGATAAACGGTTAGCTACAAATGTATTGCAAAGAAATGGAACAAAATGATTTCCATTTAATTAGTAACAACAGATCAGAGATGAGCACAGGACAAGATTTTTTGTCCTGTCCTGCCCTGTCCTGTTAGCCAGCTCTGTCCTGGCGAGCGGCAGGACAGGACAAAAATCAAAACCACGTCCTGTCCTGTTTTGTCCTGTTGACAGTCTCTGTCCTGGCGGGCGGCAGGACAGGACAAAAATCAAAATCGTGTCCTGTCCTGTTTTTGTCCTGTCCTGCTTTGTCCTGCTAACTTTTTGTGTTCTGACGGGTGATAGAATAATACATAAAANATTTATCTTGGACAATGAAATTTGTTGTGGAACCTGATCAAGAAAATATTTATGATGAATTTAGTAAACAAGTATTAACAACACAGGATGGTAAAACAAAAGTTTTCTCTATTAATGAAATATAATAAAGTGATATATAGAGTAAATTATATGTTTATATCATGTGTATAGTTCTTGTTCGTAGAGGAAAATGTAAACACATCCATTTTCTAGAAACATCCATGGCTTTAATAAACTGTAATTTCTTATAGATACTCTACACAATTCATAAACTTCACCGTGGAAAGTTTGATGTTATAGGCATCTTATTCTATCTGAAATGGGAAGTCATCGGATTATTTATTAACAACAGTGGTGAATATTCGAAGACCAGTGTTTTTAAACCTAGGATGAATTTGTTTCTTTGGCTCGCATAAAAAGTCATATTTCGAATTTAGATCACAGCATATTTATAGAACTGTGTTTACTGATTTACATCTTAGCACACATCTTATTGATATCTTCACATTGCTACTCATTATTTACTTTCTATGACTAAAACTATTTCTAACAGACATTGAAACTTACTGTTTAGCATTGTGTTATTCTGCAAAGCAGTACCCAATGCATAAACTATTAATCCAAATAAAGATTAAAGGAAGATTCATAAGAAATAGGGGTCTGAGATTGTAAAATTTGAATGGAATCTAACTCTGGCTCAAAAATACAATGGAAAGTTGTGCCATTTAGCTCTAACCTTGTCCATATTTCAATATTCATATGAACCATGTTCAAAATTTATCTATGTGAGTCAAAATTTCTACCTAATAGAGAATCAATGAGTATATTAAGTAGTTTATTTATCAAAATATCGGTTCTAGTGGACTCTTTCCCGATCTTAATTAAACCCAATCGATAAATGATCAATAAGTTTCTTCAGTTTCGATCGATCTGTGACTTTAAAAGGCATAAGAATAATCTATATACTAATATTAATGTTCGTCATTTACATTATAAACTACACACAATTAAATTGCTTTTGTTACAGCATGATATTCGTAACAAGAAAATATAGATGTAAATATTGCAGTAGTAGAATTCTTTTCAAATCGAATTTTTCTAATTATCATAAAATGATATTTGCTATGAATTATGATGTTCTATGAGCATATTTTATGACTTTTTCTTTTCCATAAAAATATTGATTACTTTCAACGTGATTTACAGAAGAAAAATTCTACAATCAGTTTCACTGCTCACTGGTGGAAACCTCAAATAGAATTCGCACTATTCCGTTCATCTTTATTTTCTGTGCTATAAAACATTGATCAACATTTTCTTCTTGGCGTGTCTACTGAAAACAAAAATCTTTTTGCTTAATCCTTTTGAATTCATATTGTGAAGCACGAAGGTTTGACATCTAATAATTGGAGTGTCTGTCTATCAGTCATTTGAGAAAAATTATGGTAAACTATCTTCTGAGATAAACCTTGTATATAAAATTTAACATAAAATATTCATTCTGTTTCAAGTCCTACGTAACAAAAGTGCAATAGAAAATTAACGACGCAGATGTGGACGAATGAAAAAACAATGAAAACAACATTTCAAGATAGATATATATGTGACATATAAAAATCTCTCTCTAAATTAATTTACATAGGTCTTCATGAATCAAAAACTTTTTAAATACCATCAACTTGGGATCAATCAACACAGCATCAAATTCGTTTTCGATTGTCCTCTATAACAGATGAATATCGATCTATTGCTTCCAATTTTGATCGGACAATGAAAGGAAAATACACAAAAATCATAAAAATCGAACGAATTCAAAATAATCGATGGCTTACGCAATATTTAGCACATAAAGAAGATTTCGAAAGATGTCTTAAGATGGATACAGAAAAACGTTTATATCACGGTTGTCCTGAACATGCGGCTAATTTAATTATTGAAGATTGTTTTAACAGAAGTTTCGCTGGAAAAAATGATAAGTTTTATCTTTGTTCTTGTTTTTTTCTTTAGGCTTTTGAATCGTTGTTATATTTTTTTTTATGTGCAGGAACTCTTTATGGATTTGGTGTTTATTTTTCATCGAATGCATCTTACAGTCATGAATACACTCAACCAAATGCAAATGGAGAGCGATGCATGTTTATAGGTCGTGTTATGGTGGGAAAAACTACAATAGGGACTCGTTTGATGAAAACCCGACCACTTGGCTTTGATTCAACTACCGATGGAAATCATATTTTCGTTATATATCATGATGCTCAAGCATATGCCAAATTTTTAATTACATACAAATGAAATTCGACAAATACTTTATAGTCTTACAGATATATGCATGATTTTAACCAGAGAGAATATTCGAAAATAAGCCATTTCTGTAATGGTGTTTGTCATAAATAAAAGCGAAGCTTCCTTATACGATTTCTTGTTTTTGAAAAGGCAAAATTCTTCACGCATATTTGATTTACGAAGCAGAAAAAGTTTTTCAGTTATCTCATGAGCGTCAAATATCCAATCAAAGCAAATTTTGAATATGTGGAAGGTGAATTGTTCGTCTACTTCTTTTATTGATCATCTTGTGAGATAATTCAAATGGTGAAAGCAAAAAGAGTCTATCAGGGTGTGTGTGGGTGTGTGTGGGTGTGGGGTGTGGGTGTTGGTCTTCTCATCACACTCTACACGCACATCCACACCCACACACTCACACCCACACCAAACACCCCACACACTTAGTTGGTAAAGTTTCTCTTTATGTTGTACAGTTATCTAAATAGTTCAACGATGGTTATTTTAAATTGTTTTGAGCAAGCATTTTATAATAAGCTCCACGTTGTTGTATCAATTCTGTATGAGTACCATTTTCCACTATATGTCCTCTATCAAGTACACAAATCAAATCACATGAACGAATAGTTGATAGACGATGAGTAATGATGAGTGATGTGAGACTAGAATCTTCTGTCTGAGCTTGTTCAAGCGCTTCTTGTACAATCTATAATTGACAAGTCAAGATAAGGCATTCATAGATAAAAAGAAAAAAAAACATACTTGTTCACTGTATGAATCCATGGCACTTGTAGCTTCATCTAAGAGTAACACTTTAGGTCGACGAAGAAGAGCACGAGCAATAGCAATACGTTGTTTCTCACCACCTGACAGATAACTACCTTTGAACCCTACATTTGTTTCATAACCCTAAAAAAGATTTCATAAAATAGTGATAGATACATTATATAATTTTATATTGTTTAACCTGAGGTAATTGCTCAATAAATTGATGAATATTAGCTTTACGTGCTGCATTGATAATGTCTTCCATTGGGACATTTTCTAAGCCATATGCTATGTTTTCAGCAATTGTTAAATCGAACAAAATTGGTTCTTGACCGACAAGACCAAAATGAGAACGAAGACATTGAAGATTCAGTTGTCGAATATTAATGCCATCAAGAAGCTAGGTTAAGTGAACAAATTTTATATAATTACTTAAACTATAAGTCGAAGAAATACTAACTATTTGACCACTTGTAACATCATAGAATCGTTCTAAAAGTTGAATTATTGTTGATTTCCCACAACCTGATACACCTATACACATCATATAACATAATCAATATTTACAAGAAACATTTAATTCAAACATACCAACAAGAGCAACACGTTGACCTTATCAATAAATAAAAGTTTAAAAAATGATTAAATCAAAGCTTATCTCACTTACTTGGCTTGATGTTTAATTGAAATTTGTTAAGAATAACGGATGTTGGCCGAGCTGGATAGATAAATTTGACTTGATCAAATTTTATCTCACCACGAAAATCAACCTATACAAATCATGTTGTTTATTCATGATTGAAAGAAAATTGTTCTTTTCCATGTTCTTTTACCAATTCTTGCCCTTCAGTAGATGTATTGTCGATAGTTGGTATTCGATCAAATAAATCAAAAAATGCTCCAGCACCCGAGATCGATGAAGCGATACGACTAGACCTAGAATCGAGACAGTCGGAAAAAAGACAAGTAGAGATTGTAAATGTTACATCGCTTCGATGATTTTTAGTACTTCGATCGAAAAAGCAGCAAAACCAGCGATCCTAATAAATTCAAAATAAATCAAAACATTGTCTCTAGATTATCAACCTGTGATATCAATTACATTAGAGTATGGTTCAACACGAGTTCATTCTTTTCAAAGAGGACCAGAGCACGCCAATACAGAAATGCCATGATATATACATCTACCGTCCAGTTTATGCCATATACGATTGAATATGGTATCAAAGGTTTGCAAGATAATCTGTGACGAAACAAGATTGATTAAAAAGGACGGGGGACGTTTCAGGTGCATTTTACCCCCCAAGAAAATGAAGGCAGACTTACTTCAAACTTTCAGCAAATACTCAGCTATATGCTACTAGTCATCACACAAAATTTTAACTTGATCTGTTGAACTTTTCTTTTACTTCCACACATCAAAATCCCACTACCTAAATGTACCTAAAATGCCCTATAGGCGTTACCTTGCAAACCTTCGTTCTCCACTATACGATTCAGAACCGAAGTGATTTTTTAGGATTATTACTAGGCATAAGTGAGGCCTACAATATTGCAAGGACATGAGGTCCATAAAAAATCTGTCTTTGTATCGTTTTGAAGTGCACAGTGGCAAAAATCCATGAAAAAACTCTGTAGATGCATCCTTGCTGATCCTCGTTCTCCACTATACAATTTAGAACCGGAGTGATTTTTTTAGGGTCACTAGGAATAACTAAGTCCTACAATATTGAACGGATATGAGGTCCACAAAAAGACCTGTCCCTGTGTCGCCTTGAAGTACACACTGCCAAAAATCGATGAAAAAGCTCTGTAGATGTGTCCTTGCTAACCTTCGTTCTCCACTATCCGATTCAGAACCGGAGTGATTATTTCAGGATCACTAGGGATCAGTCAGAGCTACAATATTGCAAGGAGATGAAGTCCACAAGGCTTGTCTTTCGATGGATTTGAAGTACAGAGTGCGAAAAATCTGGGAAAAAGATATATAGAGGGTACATTGTTAACTTTATTTTCCTAATAAATGATTCGCACCAAGAGCTCGGTTGCTAGAGGTAATGAGAATCACTAGTGGTGTACAATCTGCCATACATACGCGATCAAGCAAAAGCTGCCCTGGTATGACAATTGCGTACATAACGTCGACTATCCAAGGTAAGGTGCCTTACGGATGGATATGGGTACGGACTTGGTGTTGCCTTAGTGCTGAAGAGGAGCTGTATATGGGTTCACTGCGATCGAGACAGAGCAACCACGTATAATCGTTTCTAGTCCTTCTCTCCCATCCTTTCATGCAACGTCAGGAGCACAACTTAAAAGAATGTTATCCAGAAAGTAGCTTGATAGAATCACATCAACCGTATCAGCCAGGTAAACGAACCCGATAGTTCATATTCCATAAAATCTAATATTATTGATAATCACTGCATGAACACTAACTAACTCAACTATTTGATATCTTCACACATCCTTCGTTCTACAGTTGGTCTCTACATAGCTCTCCTAGTTAGTGCTTTACAGTGTCGAGCGTTCTTAATATTCGTACAAGGGCTACACAACTATTCAGAAGCGTGACTCAGATCCCAGGCGAGCAAAGGACGGGTAAAAAGACTAGTCCCATATCTAGTCCTGATGGCACGTCAGGTGTAGCCTTTTTCTCAAAACGGACTGCTACATGATTTGTCCGAAATAGTTTTGGAATCTTCAGCACCCGCCCAAAAAAGATTTTCAATTGAAAAAGAAAGAGCGTTTGTGACGCGACATCTATCAGGATCTAGTCCTACGTAGCAGTCTAGTCCGGACTAGTCTAAATCATAAAAATATATGCAGAAAGTTAGATTCGAACATGCATACCGTATGTTACTTATCCATCATTTATCCGATGGAACCATATGATCAACGGATCATCACTTACATGTCAATACACATTCCAATATGCTAATTAATACAGTTTGACTCTGCGCTTTCTCAATTTTCAATATTAATAAAAACACTTATTATAAAATCGAAAATTAGTTAAATAACGCTAAATAAAATTAATTCAGAATTTTTGTTAATTTCCTTCAAAAGAAATTCCTTTTTGACCATCGGCATTTGGAAAATATTATTTGCTATTTGAAAAACAATTAAAATTTAAAAACCAAATAAAAATAACATCAATTTCAAAAAACATCTTATCTTTTATATCAAAGTTTACGATTATCTTAATTTAAAATATTTCTTAAATTGGAAAATAAGCTATAATTCTATGGTTTATATCTGGTTTTAACTTGAAATCATCAAATTTTATCTTAAAATAAAATAATATTCTTATAGAAAAGTACTAAAATTAATTTTTCTAATAAAATTATTCTTAGTTGTTATTACACTGTAAATATGTAAAGGATATAAATAGGCAACTCTCATTAGATACATCGCTCTAGTCTCCATACAAGCAGGTCTAAACGAGTTGTCCGGATAATAAAGTCCAAGAAAAAGAAACTGTTTAAAGATTCCAGACTAGTCTGGACCAGAAATGGCACTACTTTCTTAAAAACAACTAGTTATGACCAGTACAGATGACTCTTCATACTAGTCCGCATTACTATCGAAAACGGTCTAGACTAGTCAGTATTCAGTAGTGTCGGATTGAATGTTCGAATCCACTTATCGTCTTCGTTTCTTCTGGCTTTTGTCGTTCCGCTGACGCATCTGGACAGTATCAACATACAAAACGGACAAGTCATGACAGGATTAAGAGATATTTTGGACTAGTCTTCATTAGGTTGCAAGACGTTGCTCGTCAAGATAACCAGTCTTGATGGGCTGCAAGTCATTTCAGACTAGACCAGACAGTCGTGCGGACATTTTAGACTAGACCAGATATCAGTGAAGACATCTTAGAGTAGTCATTTCGAGCGTCCTCTCTTATTTTTTGCTTGCCTGGGATATTGAGAGAAAAACGTATCCGACATTCTTTCCATCATAATTTCGACTACTGCTTTGAATCCTCTGTACAGCAACGTGTTATTCCGGCAGTTTTACTCAGATTGAAGTGTATGTGATACTGTAGTTCTGGCTGATTCCTGGTGACCGTAAAAACAACACTCCGGCTCTGAACCGTATAGTGGAGCACGAAGGTCAGCAAGGTTACCTCTACAAAGCCTTTTAATGGATTTTTGGCACTGTGCAGTTCAAGTCGATAAAAGGACAGATTCTTGTGGACGTCATGTCATTTCAATATTGTAGTCCTTACTTATTCCTGATGACCCTAAAAAAATCACTCCGGTTCTGAATCGTATAGTGGAGAACGAAGGTCAGCAAAGATACATCTGCAGAGCTTTTTCATCGATTTTTGGCACTGTGTACTTTAAGTCGATACAAGGACAGGTTTTTTTGTGGACCTCATGTCCGTTCAATATTGTAGGACTTAGTTATTCTTAGTGACCCTAAAAAAGATCACTCCGGTTCTAAATTGTATAGCGGAGAACAAGGATCAGTAAGGGTACCTCTACAGAGCTTTTTCATGGATTTTTGCCACTGTGCACTTCAAAACGATACAAAGACAGATTTTTGTGGACCTCATGTCCGTTCAATATTGTAGGACTTAGTTATTCTTAGTGACCCTAAAAAAATCACTCCGGTTCTAAATTGTATAGTGGAGAACGAAGGTCTGCAAAGTAACCCCTATAGGGTATTTATAGGTACATTTAGGTAGTGGGATTTTGATGTGTGAAAGTAAAGGAAAATTTCAACGGATCAAGTTGAAATTTTGTATGATGACTACTGGCATATAGCTGAGTATTTGCTGAAAGTTTGAAGTAATTCTGCCTTCATTTTCTTGGGCGGCCAAAATGCACCTAAAACGTCCCCCGTCCTTTATACATGTATAATATTCAAATGACTAACATAAATACTTGATGAATAAGTTCAGAATATTGTCGTAAAACTTCCTTTTCTATTGACAACTGTTTTATTGTACGCATATTGTGAATAACTTCAACAGCAAGCTGCATAAGTAAAAGACAAAATGATTATGGTATTTTCGATTTATCAAATAATTCACAACATTGTAGTTTCTCCTATATACAATGATTATTAGCTAAAAACTGATTTTACCGTGCTTGCTTGTCTGAAAATTTGATTGGATTGTTCAGTCACCCATAGACTTAACCGCACAACTCCATAGATGACTATGAATAGGATAAAAAGAGGACTGAAAACAATCAATGTTAATTGCCAACTGATGAACCATCCAAATAAAATTCCGAAAAACATCAGTGCAAGAGTTTCACAGATAACTCCTAATCGTGTACCAATCATCTCTTGGATGGCTGATGCATCAGAAGAAAGACGAGTAAAAATTGCCCCAGAATTGTTTTCAGGTCGATCAAAATAAGCAACTTCTTGACGAAGAAGACATGCAAAAGCTTGCACACGGATACGTTGTGTCAATTTCGATCCTGATATGGCAAAAGCTGTGTACTATAAAAGAGAGCGAATAACTCATTGATCAAATTTAGAGGTAGTATTTTTACTTGAAAGAAACGAAAAATTAATAAAAGGGTACCCAATAGTAAAAAAAGAAAACTGACATTCAACACTTGACGATTTCGTTCCGAGGTTGTACAGTATTTGAATGCCTATACAACAAACGAATCGACATGAAAGAATATATATGGCCAATTTTTTTCCACGATATTTATATGGATTGATCACTCACATCGACTATTTTGGCAAGTAAAAGTGCGAACATTGGTTGAGACGCTCCACTAAGTACACATGCTATACAACCAATCAAGATGAAGATCCATTCAGGACTATTCATTGACAAGATTCTTAAAAAAACGAATCTTTTTCTCAATGACTTCGAACATTGCTAAAGAGAGATTATTAATAATGGCTTTTATAAATAATTGCAATTCTATTTGTACTTTGTTCACATCAACAGTTTGACTACCGCTAAGCAAACGAATGCGTTCAACTATTAAATAGACAAGATAAAGACAAGTGCAGACTATCACGACGAGAATGTTAATAGACTTATTGACTTTTTACCTTCTTCTGTTGCTTTGTCTATGCTCATTATATCATCGTTATCATCATCGATTCTTGCCATTTGTTGGCGTTTAATCATTGTTTGATATTTGCCTCCTTCTTTTGCTATCAATGTTTTATGTGTACCTTCCTCAATCACAGTTCCATTATCTAATACATATATTTTATGAGCATTTTCAATTGTAGTCAAACGATGAGCAATTACAATAGTTGTGCGACCTATACAGAATGTTACATCTATATGAATATCAGAAAAAACAATCGCTACCTTTCGTAGCTTTTCAAAAGAGATACTGTTTCGGATAATATACAGCTATTTAATGGTTAAGTAACTGATCTTTTAGTAATAACTTTTCGTTTATAGCACTATTTTATGTAACTAGCTTAGGTATCTGCAAGGTAACTTTTCTTTCGGTCCCGGTCCAAGTTAAAGTTTCGATTAGCTTCTGCTCAATTTTTTTCTAAAAATAAGCAACTTTTTACACGATTAAGCCTAAACTTTTAGATGTATAGAGTTATGGGACAAATAGTGACTCTTATGTTATGTGATAGAACGAAGGAAAAGACGACCTTCGTAGAACTTGAATCCACACCTTCTGCTATTCAGGCAGATGTTCTAACCCAGTTAGACTAGAGAAAAAAACCTTTGTCTTCGTTTAGTGTCAGGGTGTATCATCACTGAAGCTAAAAAATCTGTATTAAAATGAACTATATCTAAACAATCCATTCTTAAGCATATCTGTAAACTGTATCTATCTTCTCTAAAAAAAAATGGTATCTCTTTTGAGAATGAGCCCTACCCTTGCATGCTCGATCGAGTGCCTCTTGAACAATTTTTTCGTTTATATTATCAAGTGCACTTGTTGCTTCATCTAGTAAAAGGAAAGTAGGTTGTTTGACAAGAACACGAGCTAATGCAATACGTTGTTTTTCACCACCACTTAACTGTATGCCACGCTCGCCTACATGTGTTTCATATTTCTAAACAAGAAATAATGATGCATATATGTATAGATAAAGACTTATATTTGTCACAAACGTCTGGTAATTGCATGATGAAATTATGTGCATTTGCTTCTCGTGCTGCTTGTTCTATTTCTGTTCGTGTTGCATTTACTTTACCAAAACGAATATTTTCATAAATACTCGTACTAAACAGAATCTATTAAAATAAAGAATCCAATAGGAAAGGAGAAAATAAAAACGAAAACAGCGTACGGGTTCTTGATTAACAACTCCAATGTTTTGCCGAAGTTCTTTAACATTGCAGTCCGTTATTGGTCGACCATCAATCGTGATTCGACCCGATGAAGGTTCATAGTAACGAAGAAACAGTGATATACATGTACTTTTTCCTATATATAAATTATTAATATAACTGAGATCTCTTTAACATTTTCGTTTTTGTAAATATTTACCACAGCCATTTGAACCTACGAGAGCAGTTGTTTGACCAGCACGAGCAATAAAAGAGAGATTACGCAGAACTGATGCATCTTTACGAGATGGATAACTAAAGTTGACCTTGCTGAATACGATATCACCATTGATATTATTAACGGCTTCTGTATTCTCTTCCCATACTTCTTTTTCGTTGATACTTGCGTCATTTCCCTATATCGTGTAAAAAAATAAAGAATACTGCTATCAATATGAGTCGTTAATGTATTCAAATTTACCTCGTCAATAAGTCTAAACACCGCTGTTGCTGCACCTCGAGCTTCTGACAATGCTTGAAGGAAAGGACCAGTAAAACTGATAAAATCCACACATTGTGCCAAAATGGGGACGACCTGTGCTAAGACAGTAGTGTAATATTCATGTCCTTATTGACTAACGATATGAATTACTCACAACAAGAATATTACTAAGATTCATACTAAGATGATTTTTGTTTGACATAAAAAAAGAACCAAAGAAGAAACCAACTGCATAAATTAAGTAGGTTATCAGAGATAGCCATCCAGCTAAAATCCCAAACACCACACCTTGACGAATACTACTCCAAAGAGCTGGATATAACTCCGTTTCATATCTAAATGCAATAAAAATAACAACAAGTTTTATCATTACGTGTAAGTAAACTAGTTTTATATATTCTTTTACCGTTTTTGTTCATATTTGCCACCATTGAAAGAAAGAACAGTTCGAAATGAACTAAACACTTCTTGAACGATTTGTCCTGCTTTCGCGTATGCCCTTAACTCATTCATTGTTTCATTAGATGTCAGCTATGACAATTCATACACATTTAAATAATATATTGAACAATACTTCATACTAGGGATGCACCAATTCCAATTAAAATTCTTAGCTTGGAATTGGTCGGAATTGGACTTAGAATTGGTTTTTATAAAATCACTGATTCCGCACATATTTCGACGAATTATCAGGCAGTTACCAATTTTTTTCCGATCAATTCCAAACCAATTCCGACCAATTCTAGGAATTGAGATTGGTGCATCCTTACTTCTTACCTTGGAAAACAGAAATAAGCTACCAATGACCAAAGTTAACAAGCATAACATGATCAAAGTTAATTGCCAGTAGACAACGAAAGATACTGTTAACCAACCAGTGATGTTGACTAACGTTACAATCAACATTAAGAATTCCGAACCAATACCTCTCTCAATCTTTGAAACGTTACTAGACAAGAAATAAATCACATGGAATTATCTGATATAAAACATGGCAATAGCGTACTCAAATAGTTTAGCATTGAGTTGACTAGTCGATTTGGTCTCCATATAAGGAACACTCTAAAAACAAAGAGAAAATGAGCGAAACAGTCGAAATGAATGCATTTAACTCCATTTACATTTTCAAAATTCGAATTTATCTGCAATATTAGGAAAACCATATTGCAATTTTGACTCTAAAGATTCATGCTCTACTAATGTCCGTTTCAAAAATAAGGCAGGTTGCCATTTTCTGAATAACTTTCACTGAATACGAGATATATACCTACGATTTTCACCACTCGAAAGAGCGATGCCCAGCCATCGATCTATATAGAATTCATTAAGACGACAGTTGTTGTTTTTTTATAAATGTTTCTAGATCAATACTTTTTTCTTCGCATGTTTGCATCAATTTTCAAAATAATCTCAACTCAGATTATATCAAAATATACCTCAAATCACCCTTTTTTCACTATAAAATTACAACATATTTCATTACCCATCAACCTCCTACTCTAAGAGGATTTATAAAAAAAAATGATAATTTTATAGCGAAAAAGGTAATTTGAGCTACATTTTGATATGATTTGAGTTGATATTATTGTGAAAATTTATACAAATACGCAAAGAAAAAAGTATTGATGCAAAAACATCTATAAAAAAATACATTTCTTCATGTTGAATTCTATACATATCGAGGGCCTGGAAATCGCTCTTTCGAACGATGAAAATTGCAGGTCTGTATCTTGTATCCAGCGAAATTTTTTTAAGAAAATGTCAACCTCCTTTTTATTTTGAAACGGACATTAGTTTTACTAGTTTTAAAAGTGTATTAATAGTCAAGATATTTGTCTTCATAACTGTAAAGCCATCATCTACTGAAGTTGCAAGTTCCTCAAAAATAACAAATCGTCGTTATTGCTCTTTCAACCTTCAAAATGATTATAGTTCTATTAGCTTCTGAGAAAGTATGTATAATGTAAGCTTAAGAATACATCTGTACTGTTGCTGTAAATCCTTAGTTTTAGATTTAGAATATCCAGATATCGAGACATCACTAGATATATATAATTTTGATCGAAACACTTTAGCCTATTTCGAGAGCTAGCTAGAATTGTGAATTTCCGAAAGAGCACGAGCATCAGATGCTATAAATTTATAGAAATAGTAAGAACAGATCGAGATTAATGTTTAGAGAAACGTTTTTGTAAATGGAAGGCTATTGACTTACACGCTGTATAAGTGATCGAAAGAGGGAAGCATTCATACGAAATATCTGCCGTTTCATACTAATATTCCAAATAAAATATTCAATCGAGCAAGACAGATATTGGATAAGACCGATAACTACATTGACAGAAAAAAGAAAGAAAATTTTCGTTATTTTTTCCAGCTCAGTTATTACGTTCATTTCACTTACTGAATAACCAGTGAACTATGGTCATAACTTCTTCTCGAAATGAAGGAGTGGATGTAGCTAAGTTTAATGACAAATTTACATCACTATTATAATGCACTCTAAAGTGAAAGAATACCAAATGGAAAATAAAAGAAATACATTCTGGCTAATAATAGTTTTTAGTTAACTACTTATGCCAAGAAGCATTGTTTAGTGTATTGAGTTTGATGCTTTGAGGATATGTATTGTTGTTCTTAATTGAAGCCGTTGAATTTTTGTGTTGATGGCCACACTTATCACCAAAAGATTCAGTAGCAAGTAGTCCTGCAAGCCGACCGAAAGCAACTCGAGAAGCGATAAGGCAAAGCGTTTCTGGCACTATCAAACACACAGCAGTGACCATCAGAACAAAATCGATACGATTTGCAAACCGAAACTACAACAATGTCAAATGCATCAATCAGTTTGTATTTCATCTGAATTCACTTACTAAACGAAAAACACCAATAGTTGCATCTTTGTCACTATGTTCGATATCATTGTCTAACTTAATATATTTATCGTTGTTTTTCTTTCTGAAGTATCGGTACAAATCAGCAAAACTATAAAAAGTGATAAATTTATTATATTTTTCTCGAACTTATTTATTTAATAGATCATACCTATGGACCGAAAGTTGTTTCTTGTTCCCATTATTATTATCATCATCACAAATAGAAAATCTATTGGATGCATTTAACAAAGGTTGTCTATCACTCATTTGATGTAATTCTTAATAAGACTGTTATGAAAAGTATGGAGTAAAAGCCTATTCCAATACCTTAATGATATAATGTGTGCGACAGGTAATTGACGGTTCACTTGTTATTTTTCTTTGCTTTACCAATTTTTGAAACGAAACGGTTTGTGCAGTCAACCGATCATGCACGCCATAGAACAAGTAAATGAAAGGCTCATTAGTCGTTTCTCCTTATATTTATGTATATATATCGAGTTTGACACTTCTTCCAATGTGCACTATAATACTGAAAATAATTTATTGATGGTGTGTGTGTGGGTGTGGGTGTGGGTATGGGTGAGGGTGCGGGTGTGGGTGTGGGTATCGATGTGGCTGGAATACTACTGTTCATCATCACCCACACCCGCACCCACGCACCCACACCCACATCCACACCCACCCCCACACCAGCAGCCACACCCACACTCCCGCACCCACACCCACACCCACACCCACACCCACACCCATACCTACACCCACACCCACGGCCTCACCCAGACCCACACCCACACCC